TTATTATTATTATTATATTCTAACAGATCTGAGACATTCTTGTCTTGGCATGTACCTAAATTCAGTGTAAAAATCTCATCTTGTTCATGGCCATCATGCCTCACTTTCTGACTCATCCTCAGGTTTCTGATGGCTCTGAGCTTTGGTACATTTAGCCCACCATTCAGAATCTGCTGGACAATTAACACTGATGATACACTCTAAAAATGAACTGTTGGATTTACTTAACCATATTATGTTACCTGGTTCCACTTAACYGAGTTGAGTAAATTCAAAGCAACATACTCATGTTCTATGACTAAAAAAACTGGTATATTGCTTTGAATTTACTCAACTCAGTTAAGTGGAACCAGGTAACATAACATGGTTAAATAAATCCAACATTTCATTTTTAACAGTGTACGGATCAGTATGTAGTGACTTTAAATCATAAAAAAATACAGACGAAGCATTTTATGTACAAAAGGCAGACTGAAGGCTGAGTATTACATGGTTCTGTTTGGGTTTATTGTTTTATTTTATTGTTTGTAATATTCTAAAGAAGCCAACACTGCAGTGTTAAATGTAAAATAAGCAGAGCTATATCTAAAAGATAAACAAAGAGTATCTAGAAATATTACTCAAGTAAGAGTAGCGACACTTAATAATAAAATGACATGTAAAAGTAAAAGCATAAAAATATAGTGCATTTTTTTCCAAAAATTACTCAAATAAATGTAATTGAGTAAATGTAATTAGTTATTACTCAACTCTGCTAAAAATAAAATCGCCAGCTAAACATGATCAATAGCAAAAGACTACTAAAAATAGCAAAAACCCAGTTTACATTAGCAAAATGCTAGCTAAAAGTAGCCAAAAGCTAGTTTGCAATAGCAAAAGGCTAAGCAAAAAGTAGCATACAAAAAGAAAAATAAAGCCCTTATGCTGATCAGACTTAAAAGAGAGCAGRGATTTTGAAGGATCTAAAGAGCTCTTTATGTATTTTACTTTCGGGAAAATAATTTTAAATAAAGACAAATATTTTAGGGAAAAAAACTAAATAAGTGATAATACCACCTCCTGGATAAGTGAAACAATTTGATATATGAGTGGATAAAATAACAAAGCATGCAGAAGCTTATTGTGGGGGGAAAGAAAAACAGCGTTAAAGCTGACTCAGCATTATAAATCACTCACTTTGCGGGGAAGAGTTTTGTGAAATTAGCTGTAATCTCTTTCCACGTTTGGCTGCGAACAAAGCCGCCCGTTCGACACGTAAATCTAACCGTTGTGAGTTTTAAATATACACGGTGTGYCCGGAGTTGGTTCTGCACACTGCGAGTGCCTCGTTTCAAACCCAACTGGATGAACCGAAAACATCCAGATGTGGTGAGCAGACCYCAAAGATAAGAGATGAAACAAGATAAATGGCTGTCTGGAAGCAACAACAGACCAAAAAGAAAWATGAGCGCAGAGCATCCACGCTGCAGACACATCTATTTATCATGTATTTGTCATAAATTCACAGATTGGAACGTGTCAGCTTCCAGAACAATCTGTTAAAAGTTCATTACCTGCAGTTCAAGTTCACCCAAATATTCAGCTTAGCATTTTTTTTGATGAAATATGCTCACATAAAAGCAATCCAGTCCTGATAAAACTAGAGAAGCCAAAACMTGTTAACAATCCTTTTACTTTTCACTCAGTCAGTCTGTAGAGTACAGGAAGTTGGCTCGCAGTCACTTTCCAGAGTAAAGATCACAGAGGACAGGCAGAGGAAAACCAGCCACACATAAAGATCATCGTTTTTTTAAGTCATTTGGGTGATTTAATGGGGTTCTCCATTCCTCTCTTTGTTTTTAATCATTTTAGCTTTTATAGCTGTTTTAAAGGAGAAYGACAACATTTATTTAAAGACCGACGCCGGCCGCTAAAACAATCGGAACGGTCCGTGGGAGCCGTACCCAATCCCTGCTTGAATATTGTCAAATCTGGTATTTATTTACTAAAAGCGATTGCTTCACAGATGTTGGGGATGGAGACGCATTGCAGACACCCTCGGGTGGAGCGCCACATATGCTGCATGATGTCAGTTTTCATGATTCCTTTCCCGCCGTCGTCGTCCTGCGCAAAYGTTGTGCCTCGGAGAGGTTCTGTGTCAAATTTATTCACCTCTTTTTGGCTCAAGATGGCATTCGAGAGGCTGTGCTGCTTAATAATGTCTATTATTGTCCCAGCTCGCTTTATAATTGAAATGTCTCCAACGAGCAGGTGAAAGTTTTCTTTTTTAACGATTCACAAGACACTATGAGTTCCCTGAGGGAAGCARCTTAACTGTCTCACAAACGCACTCATTTGCTGTTGTGTTGCTGAAACACCGGTTCCRCTCCACATGATTTTCAGAGTGAAGAGTAACGGCAGGGATAGTTTTGACTCATTAATAGTCAGTAGCAGCTCCTGTTTAAAAATTTAGATTTGCTAGTTTATTTTCAGCTAAAATGATGCCAAAGGTTAACCCGAAGTTAGTGTGGAAATCATTTTGTGAATATTTGTCATTTCATTTCAGGTTGTTTACAACAAAGGTGCAGATTTACAAAAGGCTTTGTGCAACAATTTTTTTACAGCTGTTTTTTTTAGCCTCACAGTTGGGGACACATTGATTTTAAGCCCTCTTTCACACGTATCATATTTATTGGAGTTTTTCTTTTAGAAAACACAATTTGGGGAGGACGATCTTGAAACGGTTAAGTTTTGCACTGCGTAAWTCATTGCTGAGTGGAAAAAAAGTTGAATAACAAAACCTGTGTTTTGTCTCTAATGTGACACAACCCCAAAAACAAAGATGTAACAAACATGTGAACATTAAGCACCGAATAACAGAATAAACAGGTGAAGAAGTTCAAACTGAGTAGAACAGCTGCTAAAAGCTTCAAGTAGTTAAAGGGTAGCTAAAACAACAACAAAAAAGCAACAAAATAGTAGCTAAACTCTAAAAGTAGTGAAAAGGTGAAAAAAGGAGCAAGATGCTATCAAGACATGAGCTGAAATTAGTTAAATGAGCTTAAAGCTAAAGGCTAGATTAAAACAAAAATTAGCAGAATGCATGCTAAAAATATTAAAAAGCTAATCAGTAACTAGAGAAATTGCATTTCCTGCGAAAATGCTAGTGTGAATGCCTGCAGCTGAAAACTTYAGCTGAAAGAAGCTGAAATTGAGCTGAACGTGTTGTTAAACATGAAAAGTTGAACCAAGCAAAAAAGGGCAGAAAAACAGTTAAAAGGAGCAAAAATATTGCTGAATTTGCATAAAAAGCTAAAAGCTAAAGGCTAAAATAGCTGAACATAGCAGAATGCAAATGAAGCATAAACAGCATAAATTAGCAGAAAAACGTATAACAAAGCAGAAAAACAGAAGAATTGCAGAAATAAGTCAAATTTTAGCTGATATAGCAGCAAAAAGTTAAATTAGCATATATAAAAGCTAAACGTAGCAGACTCAAGTTGAAAGCTGCACAAAGATGGTGAAATGGATGTAAAATTAACAGAAAAATCATTAAACTAAAACGTGATCATTTGAAGAAAAACAGGTAAAACAGCCAAAGTTCTTAGTAAAACAGTTAAAAAGTAGCTGGATACATTTTAATTAGCATAAGGATGCATAAGGAGCACAAGTTTGCTGAATTTAGCAGAATTCAGTTGAAATTGCTCCAGAAAAATGTGTAAATAGCATAGAAAGCTAACACTGGCTAATAACAGCTAAAATTTAGCTAAATTTGTAGCAAATAGCTGAATATAGAAGAAAGCAACTGTAAGAAGAATAAAAAGCACAAATTAGCAGAAAAAAGTTTAACAAAGCAGAAAAAAGAAGAATAGCCCAAAGAAGTAATTTTAGCTGAAGTAGCAGAAAAAAACTACAATTGGCAAAAGTAGCTAAAATTTGCACAAGACAGTAAAATAGAGCATAACCAGAACAAATTGTGTAAGGTTTTGTAAAGATTTAGAAACTATTTGAAGGATTTTAAGGTTGTTGAAAATTGCCCCATTCAAAGTCAATGGGAAAAAATGTGGCTAAAAAGTTGAAAGTAAAAAYAGCTGAAATACCAAAAGTCATAGCCGGCATTGCACAAAAGAGCTGAACGTTTTGATATATGAATGGTTGAAGTAGCACAAAAATTGTGAGAAAGATGCCGAAAAAAGTACGGAAGAAAAAAATGATCTCAATGGTTTGAATGCCATATAGGCATTCACACAATTACAAAGTGGTGGCTAAATGTAGGAAAATAGTAGCTAAAAACCAAAAGTAGTGAAAAGCTGAAAAAAGTAGCAAAATTMTATCTGAAAGCTAAACAAAGCAGTAGCTTAAAATAGTAAAACATGAGCTAAAAGTAGCTAAACAAGCTTTAAGATAAAGCTCATGGCTAGAATAACGCTAAAATTAGCAGAATACAAGCTAAAAKTATTGAAAAGCTAACTAATAATAAAATGCTGGCTAAAAGTAACAAAACACGAGCCAAATGTAGTCAAAGGCTAGTTAAAACGAAAATTAAAAGACCAGTAACTAAATGCTTAAACTAGTGAAAAGCTCATTAAAAGTAACAAAATACCAGATAAAATTAGCAAAAAGGAGGGATGCATGCTAAACTAGACATGGGTTTTTACGATGTAAAAACAAGTGTGCATTG